AACCGCCGTACGCTAGAAGCAATCGTTGGCCTGTGCGATGCTATAGGTCCGCCCGTGGCTAAGCACTGTACAGGCATAATCATCATATGCACTGTGCTCACATGACCTTATACTTCCTGTGACGTAGCAAAGCGATGCGCTTTGCAGGCGGCCAGCCCAAACTCTGCCCGTCTCGTAGAGTGCGCCACTGTGCTGCTCAGTTCTTGAACGACCGCCAAAACTTCGGTATAGTTCGGCGACGGGCACGTTAGCATTTTACGACGACGACGAGGAATCCGACCCGCGACGACCTTCAATGCCAGCTCGGCGTCCTCGCCAACGTTTCACCTCGGAACGCGGAGGTGCGCAGGGCCCGAGAAAACCGAAGCATCTAAGATATACCTCACTATTTAAACAAATCAACAGGAAAAAAAAAACGGCGACGACAGCGGAAGCGTGAGTGGGCGACGGCAGTGTCGACTATACGCATACTCATCAAAATGATCGCTTTCTCTGCGCGTGCATCTGCAATGAACTCCAATGCCGTTACAACGAAATCAGAGAAATTTCAAGTGTGGGCGGCATTTTAATTAGACAGGTCCCTTGAGTCTTAAATGCGGTGGGAATGAAGCGGTCTGGTTATATGTACGAATGAAAGTTTGAGACTGCGAACATTCGCATTCATCGCGTGAAAGGACGCTCCTATTCATACTACTTGGAATTGAAGCGCTCCAAATTTACACCTATGCTTTTCATTTCTGCCTTACCCTTATGTAAGCCAACGTATTCTTCACTTTTGATTGCAAATGTTTTCGAACATCTCAGGCCATGCAAGACGCACACCTTGAGACAGAAAGCTTTAAGCGTGTTAATAATTTTGTCCTCTTAAGAACGTCTATAGCGGTAAGATGGCATACCACGTATCGCACACGAGACCTAGCTTTTGTGCATGCACTTTATCCCCCTTCCCCCCAAACTCATTTTTCGTCAGCAAATCGTATCATAGACGCCACCACGCTCTGTGCAACATGTCCCACATGCGAGCGGTTTTGCGTGTGCATACAAGCACGGCTGCTGTGACTGCGCCCCAGAGCATCGGCACGATGCACGCAGTCCGTGACTTAGAGCCATGAAAGCGACATTCTCTCTCATTAGTAGCTGAATCGATCGACAGAATTGCAGAAAGCGCGGGACTCCGCGCTGTCCATTCAACCCAGCGACGTTGTATCCAGTATACTGGACACAACGTGTGTGTAGACTCGTATACAAGTCCACACACACGGTGCACATTTGCACAACATTAGGAGCGAGAAAATCTCAGCTCGTGCGCGGAAGAATAGAAAAAAAAGTAAAGTACACTCTTAAAGAAAGGCAGTGCTACTTACTAAAGTTTGAGGTAGTAAGTTGTAACAACATTCACTACCTAAGTAGTAACGTCAGGTAGTTGGCCACAGCCGTTTACTACCTTAGACGCAACCAGATGTAGTAAATGACTGTTGTCTACTACCTGCAGTTACTATAGGTAGTGAATGTTGTGACCACAATTTACTACCTCGCAGTTCGTGCTAAATGGCACCGCCTTTTTTTTTAAGAGTGTATATACGATAAATAAGAACGAAGCTGTTGAAATACGAAACAGAGAGGACTGCGTCCCCGTAGAGCGTTGCACGCCTACCTAACGACATAGTCAAGAACAATACTGACGTTCGGCCTTGTTGATGTGACGCAGTAATTGGAAAGAGCTTGAAAAAGACAAGGACAACGCGTGAGGATGCGCTCATGTTGCGTTAGTCTTGACGGAGCTGTCCTTCCAAAGGCCTTGCAGTCACTGGAATGCAGTCTATAGGTATAGTTGTTTTCGAGAGATATTGTAGGTTTCGTTATTAAGAATTGAAGCTATTTTCACAAGCAAGTTTTCGGAATGGCCGCAGATACCTTATTCCAACGAGGGGGAAAAAATGTTTGTTTTCACAGCCACGCAGCATTCCCACTGCTGCAACTTCAGCACTATCTAAGCATATGTCACGCAGAAGTCAATAATAATAATAATAATAATAATAATAATAATAATAATAATAATAATAATATAATATAATAATAATAATAATAATAATACCCAACACGTCTTAACACATGCGCGAATAGATTTTAAACGTTTTCGAATGAACACTGCCTTTTTTTACTGCACAATAAATGGCGATTATATGCAAGCACTGTGTAACGCAGCACGACAATAACAGCGCTATCTGGTAATCCTTCGCCTGATGATAACTCCTCGCCACCGACTGAAACAATCCGACACGCTATAGCTGCAGTTACAGTCACTCCACCGTTCAGAGAAGTGCCCCGATTTGCATTTAACTGCACAGGAAAAGGTTGTCACTTCGGCAGGAATTCAAGCTTCGCTGCGATCGAGAATAACTAACGTATTTCTCCCTCTCTTCTTCTGCTCACATGCAAGATATGGAGATCTATGTTAACGGCTTCTTTGTTAACAGCATTGCATTATATTTGCATAGAATCTCTTCATTGGAGTCAACGGATTACCACCACGTAAATATTACTCATTTCCCCATCGTCCATGGGTACCACATCAACTCTCCATAGTCTTCCACTCAGGCAACACTCTGTACCATTTTGTACAAAAGATGCTCGAATCCAGTGGTGTGCCTATAGGGGGCGGCTTATTAAACCCGTGCCTTCGCCCCGAATATTTTTTTCTCCATGACATTCAGAACGAGAAATAACCATTTCAAAAGGTCCCCCCCCCCCCCGCTCCCGAAAAAGATTTCTGCCAACACCCCTGACGGAATCCCCCCATAGGTCGGATCCCGTCAGCCGTATCATATGACTAGTGGACTTATACTATGAGTATGAGTACAGTGCACATAAACGCTCTTTTTTGTTGATTTGCGCTACGGTTAACCATTCACTTCGTTTCTCGAGCTCCAGAAAATCCCACAAGCGACACCGCTGTCGGAAAAAAAAAAATTAACTGAAATTATGACACACACAAACACAACGAAGAAAAAACCATAAAGTGATTACGTGGTATCTAAGCAACATGCAAAACTTGGTGCTGCCGATTTCACTTGAGACCAAAAAAAAAAAAAAAAACTGTTCCGGGACTATTCTGGCATCCTGTCCAGACGGTAAATATACGAGCCTTTCAGGTCGCAGGTTAAAGCTGCGTCTCAAAATTTACTGGGCACTCCTGCATTACAGACTGCACCGCGACTTTACTACCTCCCAAGGCACCATCGCAGCAGCTGCGTTTTGGCAATGTGCCGGCAGCTTTTTTTCCACACAAGAAAGACCACCGTAATTGCGCAAATGTCCGCCAAGATTAAACTATAAAGTGCAACCGGTAGTGAGATTTATAAGGCTTAGCGCTAGTTACTACAAAAACGAAATATCAAAGCATCTCGCAAGTTCCCGGACGTAATAAATAGCAGCGTTCGAAAGCACTTGCATTGAAAGAATCATTATTCGCTCAGTTAAATGCAGCTAGCGTAATGATAAGCTGGGAAGGCCGGTTTCGGCGCAACGGCCGGTTTAAACTTCTTTCAGGATGTGAGTACAGTTGACGTATGCTTGCAACGCCAAGGGCACTTGTGACGTCTCCACCGAATAATCGACATGGCGTACACGATCATATAATTGAATTGTACGCGTACAACGCGTGCCCACGCTCCGAAGTTAGTGCGTAATTGGAACAAAATGTGGCCACTTGGCAGTCTCCAATGGGTGTGCATTGGCTAATGCTGCATAACAGCCATCATGTATATGCCGGGTGCTAGAAAGTGTCCACTTGCACCCATCCATCGCGTCTGCGCGCGTGTCACTGTAGAGTAACGAAAGTGTGTGCTATGGGACCGTCAGCAGGGACTCAGTAAGCGCCTGAACATGATACATAAAAAAAGCAAAAGTCAAACGGTATAATCAAGCGGTAAGCGAAATCGGGAGTCGCAATGACTAGGACGCGCGAATGCACCCAATGAAGAGTTAATCTCGAAAGACAAGCGTAGTGTTCTCTTTTTTTTCGTTTCCGAGCTTCCGCTCACCGTTAACACCGCAATGACAATGAGCATCGCGCGAAAATCAACAAAGAATGCAGCAGTACAGGTTTATGTAAAAAGCCGAAGTATTGTGGCTGTTTTTGAGCAGAGAATCAACGACCTAAGGGATCAAGGGGGCCGCGAACTTTCGGCTGTTTATTCAACATGTTGTGCATTAAGAAAATATGGGCACAGATATGCGGATCAGCCTCAGAAACTTCCCGCGCATAGCACCCCGATTATAACATGATTGATTGATTGATTTGTGGGGTTTAACGTCCCGAAACCACGATATGATTACGAGAGACGCCGTAGTGGAGGGCGCCGGAAATTTCGACCACCTGAGGTTCTTTAACGTGCACCCAAATCTGAGACCACGGGCCTTAAACATTTCCGCCTCCAGCAGAAATGCAGCCGCCACAGCCGGGATTCGATCCCGCGACCTGCGGGTCAGCAGCCGAGTACCTTCCACTAGACCACCGCGGCGGGGCATCGATTCCAACGTCATCTAGGAGCTTACTTTACTGCGACAGAGCCAACGAAGGGTCAGAGATAAACATAGATCATCGTGCTTTTATATAGAATGCATCCAACAGTTTTGAAGCCGAGGTGTTCGTGCTTTTACCCATGACTTGAATCTTACTCAGACACTGTTCGCGCTTCTGTGAACTGCAGTGGGTCGGCAAATAATTGCCCCGTCTTGGGGCGTGCGCTTGAATTAGGTTGGCTCGAAATGTGCTCGAAGTTTACCGAGCTTGCTGCGCATCTATGTGCCTGTGTATCTTTATGCCCGAAATATTGAATAAACAGTCGAAAGTTCGCGCTCCCCTAGACCCCTTCCCTCGTTATTTCTTTTTGCAAGAGCGGCCATACTTCTGTGCATTTTACATGAACCAAGCAGCTCAGCAACGTGCGCTTCTAGTAGCAACAGGCACGGCTCGAGGCAGTGCAGTGAAAGCCTACCTCGTGGGACGCGTGATCACGATAGCTGGTCTGGAAGAAGAGGAGCCCGGGAGCAAGGGCTCTCCACTGCTGGGATCTTCCTTCATGGCGCACGTAATCCGTTACGGGCGAGACGCAGACGAAGCAAGGTGCGTGACGTGTCTCGGAGGACGACGATCACACTTTTGCCAGCGAACACTTCTCCCTTCAGAGCGAGTCCGACGCGCTCCTGCTGGGTCACTTCCCTCCTCGACGGGAAAACCCGCGCTTCGGGCGGGAAAGGCGACACTGCAGTTCCAAAAAACAGCTGGCACCCGAGTGGCGTTTGTATATCAACACCGGGCAAGGCACTCTAGCGTATCAACTTGGCCGCAAACCACGCACGCGTACGCGTACGGACTCCAGGCAGTCTCCTTCTGGGTTCCTCGCTTACTTCAGCGGCGCTGATAAACACACGTGACAAGGAGTCCGCGACGAGTCCGCTTTCCACGGCAGTGCTTTTCTTGCCTTGGCGTCAGCGATGAGATGCCGAGCTCACGTTTCAACTGGGTCACGGCACGCACGCTGGGTCGAGAGATGCCCCGTGAATCGGCGGCAGCGGCAATGCAACACTGCCTCAACGCCCGCGCGTACGAGGCGCTGCCGGCAAGAACTGGGCGCCCAGCGACGGGCAGAAAAGGAGGCCTCCGGATCACAACCGGGGGCGAGGAGGAGGTGCTTCCCTCTCTTCGAATACGCACGGTCCAGAGTGCGTTCAACTGGGCGCACAGCGGGGTCCGGTCGCCAGCGACCAGGCGCGCCGGTGGTGGTGGTGGTGCACGTGGGCCCGGTGTCGGCAACAGTAGCGCCCTTGCGCCACTCCTCTCCGAAGCTGCAGTGCGGGTGAGCCCACGTTCGACGACACCAGAGAGGCGGCACCCAGTACAATGGGACGGCACACGTGCGCTTGATATTGAAGGAGCCTGCCCGCGCGGCCAAGCAGGCGCATATCAGTCGGGGTCTCTACGTCCACCGAGAAGGCGATGCGGACGGTGGAATGAATGACTGACTGACTGTGTCGTACCGACGAGGCGCGCAAATGGGAAGAGAACAGAAAGCGAAGCGCCACGAATTTGCTTCGGTGTTTGCTTATTCACTCGCACGGCCACCGATTGTTGTTTCAACGGCCAACGTACAAGAACCACAGAAGGTGCACTTGCAACGGGCGATCTCACACACACCGCCAAACGAAATTCAGCGCAGGCCGTACTCGTGAGCCAAGATTCACTCGCGCGTATGTCAGCTGGTTTGAAATGAGGCTAGCGAGCAAACAGCACAAGCTACGGGCTCGGTCGCAGACCCGGAGGCCTTTTTTTGCTTTCCCGGCGTCGTGTAGCTTGTTTCGTTTGATGCAGGTGATCGATGCCGCCGGCCTTCCACGTTTATGTGATGACGACGACCACGGTGCCACCCAGCCGGATTCGTTCCGTCGCGAGCCGTGTTAGGAAGACGTTGCGAGGGGGCCACCGTTGTCACCGGCTTTTACCACTCGCGCGCCACGCCGACGGTGCGCGCAGCTTTTGCCGCTGGGTCGAGCGTATAGCCGCGAAACCAGAGTTTCGGAGCGAGCCGGAACCGCGCGCAGCTCGGCGCCAGGCGACGCTGGAGGCGCGACGGGTGCGCAGCGGCGGCTGTTGCACGCAGTGGAGTGCGCGGCCGGGCGCCTCTGGTGGTTCCTGATTTCAGGTTTCCCCGCAAGTCGCCGCCGTCCGAAGATGATATGGTGGTGCTCCTCTTGCGGGGTGCAAAAAAGCGGCGCGAAAGTTTGGGGGAGTCCGTCTCGCCACTCTCCGCCAAAAGAGCCACGCTCGTCTGGCGCCGCTAGACTTGGCTGTCGCTGGTGAGAGCCTTCGCGACCGGCTGGCTATGCCGCCTCTCCGCTTCTCCCTTCCTTCTTTCTCTCACCACGCCGGAGAGGTGACGCTGCGGGCGACCTCCTCGCCACTGGAAGCAGCGCATCGAGCGAAATCCCATGGCCGTTTCGGATAAAGGCAGCCGGCAAAGAAAGAGAGCGGGACGAAATAAAGAACACGACATAAAGCAGCAAAAAAAAAACGATGACAACCGTCGGTTGCGGAAGCCCCGCAGTTGTATTTGGCCCCACTTGTGACGTGGCGCACCCCCCTCTCCCTCTGCGTTTCTCTACAGTTTTGTTATTTCTAAGAGGCACTGCCAGTCTCCCTTAGCAAGAGGGTGCCGAAGAAGTTAGCCGGTGTTCTCGTCCGTTTCTCCCACGGCTTTTCGACGTCGTCGTTTAAGAAGCGACTCCCGAAGCCGTCGTGGCGGCGGATCTAAATCTCGCCAAAGAGCCATCGGTGACGCAACTGACTCCTCGGCAGAAGGACGCCGAGACGGCAGAGGAATAAGAATCGGCACCGTCGCGTAGCGATGAAATAGCGAAAAACTAAAAACAAAAAAAAAACAAAAGAGGGGTTTGAGGGTCGTCAGCCGGGAAGCAAGTCGCACGGGGCGAGATGCGATCCGGCGGTTTCAGATTTCACCCGGATAAAAAGGAAAGGCAGGTTCGTATCCTCATTCATTTCTCAGCGTTCAACCTCAACGGACGGGAAATTGCGGTTGCGCAAATACGCCCATTCCCTCTGCTACACCAGTCCCTTTCACCGAGCCGACTGCACCTTCCCTCACCTTCGCCACCATTACCTTTTCTTCGTTCTCGATCACTCGATGCTGCCCCGGTCAACCACGGTTTCGTTCCACCTTCGTATCTCGAAACACCGTCGCCGGTTTCGCATGCGCCCGTGTGGCCTCGCAGAGATCGGGGGATTTCATTCACGCATTGCCCCGACATCGTATACTGCCTCGTCGTTCACTCCCGTCGCCCCGTTTTTTTTTTTTTTTTTTTTCCTGCCGCTGCCACCTTCTACGTATGTGCGATGGTGGAAACAGCCGCCCGACGAAGATTGAGTACTCCATGCAAGGTCTTCGTAGTTATCGCTAACTGAATGTGCGAATAAAGAAGAAATCAGGTGGACCAACGAACGTGGAAGCGAGCCAGAGACAGATTAGGCAGGATGTCTCCGACGATGGGATCTATCAGCATACGACGGCCCCGCCGCGGTGGTCTAGTGGCTAAGGTACTCGGCTGCTGACCCGCAGGGCGGGGGTTCGAATCCCGGCTGCGGCGGCTGCATTTCCGATGGAGGCGGAAATGTTGTAGGCCCGTGTACTCAGATTTGGGTGCACGTTAAAGAACCCCAGGTGGTCGAAATTTCCGGAGCCCTCCACTACGGCGTCTCTCATAATCATATAGTGGTTTTGGGACGTTAAACCCCAAATATCAATCATCAGCATACGACGCACTCAAAGCAGTTGGAATGCGCGCGAAAGCAGTGCCTGTTGAGCTACAGCTTCGTAAAGTCAGCGTGAAAGGCACAGCCGACAGCACGTTTTTGTAACCTAAATTAACTCCTGACCGCCTTATTCGCAACAACTTGCGTACGCAGAAGAGCAACGCCACCAACGGGCGTCAGGCACACCCGCATTGTCACGGGGTAAAGCGGGCAGGCACCTCGATTATTCGTAGGAAGCGTGGCGTCGATCCCACACCGTTAAGAAGAACCGAAGCGTGTCGCTCAAGCGAAATTTCCGTTCTCCAAGCGAACAGTTTGAAATCTGCTTAATGCTGCCACGCATCGTCAACAGCGCACGACGCTAGAACATTTACGATGAAGGAAATGACGGCAGCGGTAATGAAAAGGAGGAAACACAACGGAGATCGAGGGGCATGTACGTGGCGCTAATTTCTTTCTTTCTCTGAAATGGAGAGGCGTACTACAAAATGTGTGACGCAGCTATTTTGACAACATTTGCTATATTCATCATGATCATCATTTATTGAACCCTTAAAGGCCCCTTGCGGGGTATTACATAAGGGGGAGGCAAAAACACAATTTAACAGATGCATGATTGTCAGTGGTACAAAGCATAATCGAAAGTGAACTACATGATAAAAAACAATGTCAACAGAAGCAAAAATATATATATACGTGGAAGAAAACGGCAACAATTGTAAATTAACTAACATATCAAGTAATTTGTGATTAGCTGTTTAAATTTTAAGAGGTTTTGTTCGTGCACTGTGGATTCAGGCAGGTTATTCCAGTCTTCAATGGCAGTAGGTAAAAATGATTTATTGAAAGCGTTAGTTGAACCATGTAAGCGCTGTAAACATAGGGAGACATTTTTCGTTGCAAAAGGTCCGAAATTTTAAAGTCCACATTTCGAAACTGAAGTTGTGTTTGTTTTTGTGTTTTTTTTTTACTTTTGTTGAAGTGGCTGACCATGACACTCGGCACACACATTGACGGCTGTCCGGCAACAAACCTCTCGACATTACGATGGAAAACGATGAAAGGGGAAAAATATTGGTCGTGGGATGAGGAGAAGGAGGACAAGAACAACAAGAGTGAAGGCAGGGAGGTTAACCAGGCACATGCCCGGTTTGCTACGCTACGCTGGGCGAGCCGCAAAAGACGGGCGGCTGCTTCGCATCCCCGACGGAGAGTCGAATACGCACGGACCGCGCTTTTAACAACGTTAGTTCACTGTCGATAGCGTTACTTCCACGCGCTGCAAATGCTGACGCGTGAAGTTCACTTCGCAAATGTTGTCTTTGAGGGGCGAAGCTCCTTGCTATGCCGTGAGCCGTGCATCCGCGATGTATGTATGTAATAGTAGTAGTAGTAGTAGTAGTAGTAGTAGTAGTGGTAGTAGTAGTAGTAGTAGTAGTAGTAGTAGTAGGTAGCCACCTCTCGTTTAGTCCTTGGAATGTCCACTGGATGGCGGTACTTGTATATGATGAATACATGATGAAAAGGTGCGAGATGGCGATACTTGGAGTGTTCATTAGATGGACGGACGCAAGGGTAGACGCATGGACGCGCGGATGGTCGCACAGGCGGAAGCGCGGACGGACTGACGGACGCTTCGCCCCACTCATCACTCAATTCATAGATATGCTGTGATTTTTTTTTTATGTTATAAAAAGCACAGTTGAAGCAGCATCATTCGCGAGAGAGCCGCTCTCAAGGACACTTCCACTACATCAGGCGATGCACACCGGCTTGGGAGCCTTGCTGATGTGAACAGAATCACCTATAGAAGCATTCGTGATAACACGATGTTAAAATACCACCAACATGAGGAGCGCTATTCCTTGAATAGCATCTATTTCAGCTGGCTTTTTACACATACGTGCGCTGAATGTCTCCGTAGTCGACCGATCAAGCATGCGGCATCTACTGCCGTATGTGCTACAAGGCCGCATACGTAGAATGTCGTACAACGAGTGGAAAATAACACTTCCGCTGCCAACAACGACGTTTCTTACTATACACAAGTAAGATCGTAACTC